CTTTACTGACCCATCTACCCCCCCAATGACAATGAATTTCTGTAGTGATTCCCTTGCACCTGCAAGTGGCGAGAGGCTTACTGGTGACACGCACAGCTAGTTCTTAAACTAGGTTGTAGGGTTCCAATTTTTACTTTAATTGTGGTCCCGTGCTGGGTATCCTACATGAATGGAGGGCTCCAAGTAGGAACCCCAATCATTTACACAGAGCTGCCCACATGTAAAGATCCTCAGCCTTTCTGCTCAACACAGGTGCGCAGGCGAAAGTCTAGTCGTCTAAAAATGATAGTACGAGTACGTAGCCATAATCACAACCTCATGAATAGTGGTAGTGAATTGGCATCTTCCTGCTCACCTTAACACGAAGCCCCCTGAATCCCCAATGCCAAAGAACACAAAGCATCGACAAACCCAGATGCTGAGTAGGATTGGGTAGGTTGCTCGTTTCCGTTCGGGCTTTAACCCCCTCTTCCAACCCCAAACCCTAAAACCCGAAACCAAAAACCCAACGCCCTAAATCCTAGAACTCCAAACCCTAAACTCGAGAACCCCAAACCCCACGTCTTAGAAGGTGCAGGGCGGCTGGCTTCACGTGCAGGGACTGCATCCAGGCTGGCTTTACCCTCCGCCAGTGCCGGACAGGGGGCTACACCTGCAAGGAGTGCCGCTGGGCCACATAGGGTTTAGGGTTTAGGGTTTAGGGTTTAGGGTTTAGGGTTTAGGGTTTAGGGTTTAGGGGTTTAGGGTTCAGGGTTTAGGGTGTAGGGATTCCTCTTAGACTAGAGGGTTTAGGGACCAGATACCTCAGCATTCGGTAAATTACCCCAACCCCCAGAACATGGACCTCATGGCTATCGTATGCCCCTTCGAGTTCTGCCCACATAATTAGGGTAACCCCTCCGCCAACAAAGGACCATAGTGCAGAGAACTGCCCTTGTGACACTAGGGTCCTTTTTTCTAAAGGGTGTTGCAATCGGAGGGCCTACGCCCACACCCCTAACCCCGATGCCTAAACCCGTAGCTTTAACCCTTACTCCTGCATCCCACAGCACCGAACCCCATGACCCCTAAACCTTTAGAAGGCCCTCAAAAAGTCGAGCCCCCCCCAAAGTTGCAAACCCTTTGAAGCCCTTCAAACTCATCCAAGGCGGTTTAAATCAATCTCTGAAAAGACATCTTCAGCCTCTACTACTATGAATTAAGAAAAGACATCTTTCAAAGCCCGAAACCCTGACCCTATACCCTAAGCCCTATCGGGACACCAGGCAAAGACTTCGGTCTGCTGACCACCGTAGCCTTCTGCCAGGCAAGCCTACTTAGGGTTTTGGGTTGAGGGTTTAGGGTTTAGGGTTTAGGGTTTTAGGGTTTAGGGTTTAGGGTTTAGGGTTTAGGGGCGAGAAAGGGTGCCCCCCCCCCCCCCCAATTTGGGGAAGCCCCCCCCATCCGCGATGTTATTAGGGGTCCCCTCCCTCCCCCCCCTTCTTGGGAAATGCCCTTTTATAGGGTTCAGGTTTCAGGGCTTAGAGGGCATATTTATGTTTTTGTGTATCTATTTACTTTCTTCGTTTATTTCTTTCTTCGTTTATGTTTATATTTATATTCATACTTATATTTATATGCATATTTATATATTTATATTTATATTTACATTTATATTTATATATGTCTAAGCCCTTGTTGCTGTAAACTTCTAGGCCCCAGTAATCCCAAAAACTGCTACTCCCCGAAACATGTACACTCCCAGCCCCAAGCCCCAAACCCCGAACCCCAAACACCAAAACTCCGAACTCCAAACTCCAAACTCCAAGCTCCAAACTCCAAACCCCAAACCCTAAGCCCCAAACCCTAAACCCTAAACCCAAAACAAACCCCAAACCCTATAAACCCTAAACCCTAAACCCTAAACCCTAAACCCTAAACCCTAAACCCTAAACCCTAAAACCTAAAACCTAAAACCCAAACCCTATAAACCCCAAACCCTAAACCCTAAAACCCCCAAACCTTAAACCCTAAACCCGAAACCCTAAACCCTAAACCCTAAACCCTAAAACCCTAAAACCCTAAACCCCCCACACCCTAAAGCCTCAACAGCTCTGCAGGCCCTGGGCTTCAGCCTTGCGGAGTGCCGGGCCGCGGGCTACTCCGCGGAAGACTGCCGCGATGCGGGCGCATCTGCCTCCCACTGCAGGCATGGGGGCCCCTCCCAGAGTTTAAAAATGGGGGTTTTGGGTTTAGGGTTTAGGGTTTAGGGTTTAGGGCTAGGGTTTAGGGTCTAGGGTTTAGGGATCAGGGTTTAGGGTTTAGGGCTTGGGGCTTAGGGTTAAGGATTCCGAAGATCGCGATGCTCCAGCCCCGCGTGGCTCTTAAACGCCTTAGGTGACGAGTAGGACCCTAAACCCTAAACCCTAAACCCTAAACCCTAAACCCTAAGCCCTAAGCCCTAAACCCTAAACCCTAAACACTAAACCCTAAACCGTAAACCCTAAACCCTAAACCCTAAACCCTAAACCCTTAACCCTTAACCCTTAACCCTAAACCCTAAACCCTAAGCCCTAAGCCCTAAGCCCTAAACCCTAAACCCTAAACCCTAAACCCTAAACCCTACACCCTAAACCCTAAACCCTAAACCCTAACCCTAAACCCTAAACCCTAAACCCTAACCCTAAACCCCTAAACCCCAGACCCTAACAGATGCTTTGATCGCACACTGCAACTGAGAGTCGCTCCGGGCCCTTGCGCCCTTTGCGGCAGCAATGACACCCGAATGATTGATGGGTTTAGGGGTTAGGGTTTAGGGTTTAGTGTTTAGGGTTCAGAGTTTAGGGTTTAGGGTTCAGGGTTCAGGGTCTATTTAGCTCCTGTCCCTCCGAGTCCACACTCCCTGCCCTGCTTGGCCGCTCCCCTCTGCCTTCTCGCTGGGACTCCGCTTTGCACAGGGCGCGCTTAAACCTTTTTTGGTGCTATAGCTGGTCCGAAACTAAGTTTGTTCCCATTTGAAAACCAGCAGGACCCTAAACCCGAAACCCCCAAACCCTAGACTCTATACCCTAAACCCCAAACCCTCGACCCTAGACTCTGTACCCTAGTTATGGGTTTCTGGGCCCCAGATCTTGCAGGGAAGCTGGGTACGGCGCTCGCGACTGCTTGCTGGGCGGCTACACCATCCCGGAGTGCAAGGAGTTTGGGGAGCTTCAAACTGTTGGGGGTTTGGAGTTTTAGGAGTTTTGGGGTTTCTTTAGGCCTAAACCCTAGACCCTGAACCCTGAACCCTGAACCCTGAACCCTGAAAACCCTAAACCCTAAACCCTACCTACTTGGAGGTTCATGAGGCTCAGGGTTTAGAGCTTATGGACTGGTGGAACAGCTTGGGGTTCAGGTTTTAGGGTGGCCGCCATCCATACATACATCTTACCGATAAGAGTAGCACAACATAGTTCTGAGATACGTATATGTATGGAAACCCTAAACCCTAAACCTAAACTGGAGGGTGGCAGGAAAATGGGACTGAGGCCTTAGGGCTTTAGGGCTGTCGGGTTTAGGGTTTGAGGTTTAGGATTTAGCAGCGTCTAGGGTTTAAGGTTTGGGGTGTATTGTCAGGGTTTGGGGTTTAGGGTTTGCGGTTACCCTAAACCCTAAACCCTAAACCTTAAACCCTAAACCCTAAACCCTAAACCCTAGCAATTTGGGGTGTACGGATTGGGGTTTCATGGGCTTGCAGGGTTTGGGGTCGTAGGATTCCGCAGATCGCAGGCGGCCTAGGCATGGTGAGGTTTTGTTTGGCAGCAAAGCCCCTGAGCCCTAAACCCTAAAGCCTAAACCCTAAACCCTAAACCCTAAACCCTAAACCCTAAACCCTAAATCCTAAATCCTAAACCCTAAATCCTAAACCCTAAACCCTAAATCCCAAACCAACAGGAGGCTGGCTTCCGGGAAATGGAGAGATGGCAGCAGCTCTGAGGATGGATGCCTCCTCATGCGGGCTGGCTTTTTGGGGCTTAGGATTTAGGAGTAGGATCTAGGGTTTAGGGTTTAGGGTTTAGGGGGTAGGGTTTAGGGTTTGGGGTTTAGGGTTTAGGGGGGTGGGTTTAGGGCCTAAGGTTTAGGGCTTTCAGGCCTTTAGGGCCTTAAGGGCTTTAGGGGTGTAGGGCTTTAAGCTTTAGAGTTTAGGGTGGAGGGCTCACATATACCCATTGATAGTAGCATGTGCCGTCGAACCTTCCGCGCACTGGATCTTGCGATCCATCTCAGTCGCATTCTGGAACAGGAAGTTGCCGCTCAAAGCAAGCGCCAGCAGCCCCACGTGTCTCGGAGTATCCCACCATGAGCCCCATGTGAGGTTGCTCTACAACTCTGTGTTCCTCATCCTGCAGATACCATGCATGACAGCACTCCTTACCAAAGGGACCTAATCTAGAACAACCCCCCACATGTGGGAGTAGTGAGAGGAGTGTACCGTAGCAAGGGCCATCCGACAGAAGTCAAAAGAGCGCCGTGTTGTCTAAGCAGCTTCTGTGCACGAGCAGGCGCAATCCAGGGCTGCGAGCCTTTGCAAGTACACGCTGCTGAGCTTAAGACCTGAAAGCTTTCTCAAGCCAGTACTTGAACCAACCAACTGTCCTTGAAGCATAAGGAGGAGAAAGCATCAAAAGCTTCAACTACGGCACACAACTTCGATGGTTCCCTTCACATCCTGACAGTCTTGGCAGAAGCGCTTTATAGTAATAGCAATAGCGATAATAGTGAGAAGAACAAGAATCGCACAAAAAATAGGAATCAGAGTAGTACAGAGATGGTATGAAGCCTTTCAATTTGGACTATTGCTGCCGGCTAACTCTTCCTCTCTCACTCCAATAACGAGTACTCACACAGATTTAAGTACCGATCCCTAAACCTTAACCCTAAACCCTAGGCCCTAATTAAACTCTACGCCCTAAACCGTATACCCTAAACCCTAAACGCTAAACCCTAGTTTGTCCTTCAGCTTGCTGTCGGAGCGCCCCATGGCGGACGCGGGCGCTGCGGATCTCGGCACCTCCGCCGCTGCCGATGGGGCGCTGTTTCGCAAGCTCGTGGCCGAGGGATACTGGGTCTTGTCTTTGGGATGTGACTTATTTTCCCTTCGTTACTTCTAAGGGAACCTCTTTTCATAAGTGATTTTCACTTATAAGGGAAACTAACTATTCATAAGTAATTTTCAAAGGGTTTAAAGCACAACTCAGGATACGACCAGTGTGCCGAGGCCTACCTGCGCCAGCATAGCCAGCACCTTGGGGGACGAGAATGAGCCCTAAAGTGGGGAGTTCTATACCCCATGCTACTACCATAATTCCTATTATGGTAAAACCCCCTAAACCCTAGAATTCCTATTAAGGCATATGGACCATAATGTATCCTTTTTAGGGCTCCTGTGGTTCCCAAGGCAGGCGTCGGACGACGACCTGCGCCAAGAGCCCTTTCGGGAGCTGATGGCCGAGCTTCCCGCAGGCGCCCATGTGCTGGACGCAGGCTGCGGGGCTGGAGTGCCGATAGCAACTCACTTGGAAAGTCTGTTAAATCCATAGGGTTTAGGGTTTAGGGTTTAGGGTTTAGGATTTAGGGTTCGAAGTCTGTTAAATCCTAGGGAGGGCAATCCTAGGGAGGGCCCCCCCCGAAACCGTTGCAAGTTCGACATGACGATTGAACCCCCCGGTTGGTGGGTCTCCTTTATTTCAAGATTTCGAAAAAGGACCATGTCGAACCCCCCCCCCCCCCCTAGAGTTTCGGGTTTAGGGTTCAGGGTTCAGGATTTAGGGTTTAGGGCAAACTTTTCACAAGTTGGCTTGCAATGAGGCGAAGGCCATCGTGGACGATGCGCGGCAGATGCGGGTGACCGGAGTTGACATCTCCCCCCGGCAGATCGAGCTGGCGAAGCAGCTGGTGCCCTCTGACCGGGCCACCTTCCTTTGCAGCGACATGGCGTCCCTGGTTTGCGAGCCAGAGAGCTTCGACGCGATCTGCGCTTTCTTCTCCGTCTTCCACCTGCCGCGCCGGGACCATGCTGCGTTCTTCGCGCGGGCCGCGTCCTGGTTGCGGCCCGGTGGGCGTTTCGTGTTCAACCTCGCAGCCGGCGAGGACGGCGACGGGGAGTGTGATTTGTCGACAGACTTCTTGGGAGCCACGATGGTTTGGTCTTCGTATCCCAGGGATCACACGGTGAAACTCTTGGGTGCAGCGGGCCTCTCAGTGGTCAAGGAAGAGCTGAAGATGGTGACGACAGGTGATGAGGTCGACCGTTCAGGGCTTCGGTTTCGATTCTTCCACTGCAGAAAAGAGTGATCGCTGGTTTGTGCGGCACGAAGCGTAGCACTCGAAGCGTCTCGTGTCTGAATGCAAATAAGATGCTGAGTTGGAGGTTCCACTGGAGTCAAAGTTTGGCCCTAGCCTCAACAAAGGGGCCAGGTAGGAGCCTGTGATTTGTCCCGCCGCCGCCCCATTCACCTCCGGGTAGTTTGTTGTTCCTTGCTTGCAGAAGAGGCAAGTCTGTACGGACAGTGGGGACTCTTGCGCATCCCCGAGAACAGAAGGAACACGTGTGCAGATGTACAGTATAGTTGCAGAGCGAGGGCTGCGACTTGATTGCAGGCTGGTGGATGGGTTCGTGTTGTATGTACAGGACAAAACTACAGACTACTATTTGCTTAAGAACCCCCCCAAAAAAAAGCAATGTTCCGCTTATTTCCCTTATAAGGAAGAATATCTTTCATTTTTTGGGTGGTTCTTAACCAAGTAGTAGTGATCCGGCGCGGTGGACATGATGTTCGGGTGTCAACTTTTTCGGCCGCGCGCGCGCATGTCGTGAGCCGAAAAGGGTGAGAGCTCGCAGTTTCAACTGCCTTTTAGGATTTAGGGTTTAGGGTTTAGGGTTTAGGATTTAGGGCTTAAGGTTTAGGGTGTGGGGCTTAGGGTCTTTGGTTTCATATCTCCTGCAGTGGCTGGCATACGAATCCACCAGGCAAATCTCAGCTGGTCAGGGCATCAAGGGTGTTGCGATCCGCCCCCCCCCCCCCCCCCCCCCCCCCCCCCACTTACCCGATTTGTGTTAATTTTCGTACGGCGTTTTAGCCACAAACCCTGAACCCTAATTCCCCATGTCCCTAAACCCTAAACCCTAAACCTTGAACCCTACACTCTAAACCCCTAAACCCCTAAACCCTAAACCCTATACTCCCTAATCCCTAAACCCTAAACCCTAAAAACCCTAAAAACCCTAAGAACCCTAAACCCTAAACCCAAACCCGGTTTGGGGTCCGCAGGATGTAGTATAGGACTGCTTGCTGCACATCCCTTGCCGACGACGTAGTGGCAGGCCAGCCACGGTTTAGAGCTTAGGGTTTAGGGTTTAGGGTTTAGGGTTTAGGGTTTAGAGCATCCAAGAAGGCGTCTTCGGACAATTTTCCCAAAACCCAAAACCTCCTGTAGACCCTATAGACCCTATAGACCCTAAACCCTAAACCCTGAACGCCCAACCCGAAACCCTAAACCCGAAACCCTGAGCGCTCAACCCGAAACCAGTTCTGCCAAGGTCAAGTTCGTGCAGCTGGCTCCCGGCGAGTTCTTCTTCGTTTCCGTCAAGGCCTGCCAGTAGCCTCTAAACTTATTGATTCTTGGTAGGGTTTAGGTTTGGGGTTTGGGGTTTGGGGTTTAGGGTTTAGGGTTTAGGGTTTAGGGTTTAGGGTTTAGGGTTCAGGTTTAGAGGGTGGAGGGTTTGCAGAAGGAGAGACCCAACATTCCCCTATATAACCCCCCTCTGGGGGACGATGCAGGGATGCTCATTTCCAATTTCCCAAACCCGAATCCTAAACCTTAGACCCAAACCTCCAAAGCCCACGGAGGATGTAACCCCCACCCCCTCCCCCACCCGAAGCGGAATTTTAATGGTCATGACAAACTGTCTGCAGCCTTGCGATGAAGGATAGAAGTGAGTTGCGTTCTCATGCAGGGTTCAGGGTTGTAAGGATTCGGGGAGTTATCAGGCGGAGCTTTTGGGGGGTCAAGGTTTAAAGGCTTCAGGGTTAACGAGCTCGTGTAGCTTTGGGTGGTCGGTTGACTCAGGTGACCACAATTCAGCCCAAAACCCTAAACCCCAAACCCTAAACCCTAAATCCGAAACCCCTAAGCCCTTGAACCCCTAAACCCTAAACCATCCTAAACCCTAAACCCCCAAACCCTAAACCTTAAACCCCTAAAACCCTAAACCCCAAGAAGCATGGTCGTAGTGCTGACAGACACTGCGTTCGACAGAGATCCGGGATGGCATGCGTTGCTCCAAACCGCAGTTCCGGCATTGCAGTAGTAGCATTTTGCACTACAGGAACTAGTGAATTGCGTTACTCTATATTTCTACATGGCTATATTTATATGTCTATTTTTGCTCTATTGCTATATTGCTATATTACTATATTGCTACAGTACTATACTACTCTATTGCCATATCACTTTATTGTCAGGTTATTCTTTTGTGACGGCATTTTACATAGCATATTACCATTTTCATTCCATATTCATAAGGTTCCATGATTTGATTATCACATTATCATCTTCTAACATCCGCTACACTCTCTGCAACTCACCGAAAGCCCCGAAGGCCCCGAAGCCAAACTGTCAGGTTGCCTTCTCCGTGGGGCTTCTCATTGCCTTCCCCTACGCCCTGTTTGAGGCCGACCTTGGGTTAGGGCTTGGGAATGAACCCTTGAAGCCTCAACCCTTGCAAGCCCTTGTAAACCTAACAAGACCTTATGAGCCCTCAGAAGTCCCTATACACCCCAAACCCTACGTGGATCCTCAAACCCCAAAAGTGGTCCTCCTAAACACGATACCCTAAACCCTAAACTGGCCCTAGACCCTAAACCCTAAACCCTAAACCCTAAACCCTAAACCCTAAACCCTAAACCCTAAACCCTAAACCCTAAACCCTGAACCCTAAACCCTGAACCCTAAACCCTAGAGGCTGCGCTCTACTTCGCCCCCGCGCTGACGCGCTCGGAGCGCAACGTCGTGGGGCCCACGGCCGGTGGACCCAGGGCTTGGGTTTTGGGGTTCAGGGTTTAGGGGTTTGGGGTTTAGGGTTTCGGGCTTAGGGTGTTTCGGAGTTTAGAGCCTTTGGGAGTTTAGGGTCTCTGGGAGTTTAGGGCCTTTGGGAGTTTAGGGTCTTTGGGAGTTTCCGGCCTTTGGGTGTTTAGAGTTCGGAGGGTTCAGGTTTGAAGGTTGCGGGGCTCTGAGCATGTAGGGTCGAGTTTCAATCAGGTGGAAAGATGACCCTAAATCCAGCCACCCCTAAACCCTCCCGACTATGCACCTCCTAAACCTCCAGAACAGTCAAGCTGCTACAGCCCTACGTCCTAAATCCCTACAGGCTTAGGGTTTCGGGTTTAGGGAACCCTAAACCCTAAACCCTAAACCCTTACTTAACCCTTAACCCTGAACCCTAAACCCTAAACCCCAAACCCTAAACCCTAAACCCTAATCCCTAAACACTGAACTCCTACACCGTAAGCCCGAAGCCTCGCGCGTGAGGTCTTAGGCTCGGCAATTCTGTTCTACAGCCCGGGCCTCACGGGCCTCACGGGCCCAGCGCTTTTTAGGGCTCTAAGGGTTCTGACTATTAGGGTTGAGGGTTTAGGGTTTAATTCGGCTTTTGGGTTGTTTGGGGTTGAGGGTTTAGGGCTTAGGGTTAGAGGGTGTTGGAGGTTTAGTAAACGTAGGGTTTGCGGTTTCTGAAGACCCTTGATATGTTCTCAACCCCAACGGCAAAGCCTGCCAACTCCCACCCGCCAAAACCCTGAAACCCCTAAGCCCTTCAACCCAAAACCCTACACTTCAAGAACTTGTTGCAGCCTTGTTTCGGTTTTTGCGATTTATCTGGAGTTCGGGTTTTCTGTCACAGGTTTTGGGTCTTCTTAGTTTAATGTTGAGGTTTCAGAATTTAGTGCGTAAGGTTCAGGGTAGAAGAGGGCAGAGTTCAGGGCTGATTTTGATTTGGTGGAGGTTAAGAAGTGGAGGTATCTTTCTTCCTTGCAGCTCCTTGTCTAGTGGTGTGCTTGGGCGTCTTAACTGGCTTCGCTCGACATTCGTAAAGCACGGTTGCCATGAAGCTTCTACGAGACAGGCGTTGGAGCAGATTTTGATAACGTGATGTAAGCAATGGGTCAGCCTTGGCCCAAACTCCAGAAAATTGCCAGGAATCTCAAATGCTCATTACATCTGTCTGCAAGCCAGAATACAAATTCTTCCAGCGGGTCATGGTTCCCCGAAACCCTAAACCCTATGCCCTAAACCCTAAACCCTAAACCCTAAACCCTAAACCCTAAACCCTACGCCCTAAACCCGAAACCCTTGACCCCCCTTGACCCGACACCTGAAACGCTAAACCCTGCAAACCCCAAACCAGCCGAGGGAAGCCCCCGCTGCCGGCGCTTTGTCGGATTTTAAGGGTTTTAGGGCTCGGGGTTTAGGGTTTCGGGCTTAGGTTTTTTTGAATGTTTCGGTGTTTCCGGGAGAAGCCTTGAACCCGAAACCCTAAACCCTAAGCCCCAAAACCAGTGCTGCAGAGGTGGAGCGCTCTTCTCATACTCCGTCCTTAGCCCCGCGGCCCTGGGATTCTTCCTGGGCTACTCGCAGGCCTTTTTCAACTTGGGGTTCAGGGTTTAGGGTTTAGGGTTTAGGGTTTAGGGTTTAGGGTTTAGGCCTTAGGGCTTAGGGCTTATAGGGTTTAGGGTCTGGGTTTAGGGTTCCGGTTTAGGGAATTTAGGGTCATCACGGCTTTTTGTATGCGCTCTTTAAGGGTTTCTTTCGTGGTTGGCCCTTGAGGATGCAAGGGGTGGGTTCAGGATTTGGAGGTGTGGACCTGGACTGTTGCTGGTTTCGGGGTCCAGGTTTTCGGGTTTAGGCTTGGTTTAGGGGGGGTGTGTTGAGGGGGGTTTTGGGCTCGAGGGGCTCCAGGTTCAGAGATGCTGTAGGGTTGCTCAGCCGGGGATACCAGCTTCGTGGCTTTAAACTCTAAGGTTTGGGGGTCTCGCGCCCGCAGGCCCCCTTTAAAATGGCCAGCTTCCTCTCCCCCTTCAATATCACTGCTGTCAGTTTTTGCTGATGCGTATGACCCCAGGCCCTAAACCCTAAACCCTAAACCCTAAGCCCTAAACCCTAAACCCTAAACCCTAAACCCTAAACCCTAAACCCTAAACCCTAAACCCTAAACCCCTAAACCCCTAAACCCTAAACCCCTAAACCCCTAAACCCTAAACCCTAAGCCCGACCTGAAAGCTCCCTCCAGAAACTGG